TCACAGTGGATACTTTCAGCCCATTTGCCACAATTCACCAATTGTGTCACAATAGCTTGCATTTAAAAACAAAAACTTTTTTCACTGTTATAGATTGAATAGCAGTTAGTTGTCTGCCACTGCTGCCAGCTTCTGTGTCAGGCTCACAGTGGATACTGTGCCCATTTGCCCAGTCAGTGCCACCACTCACTCACTAGTGTCACAATAGCATGCATTTAAAAACAAAAAACTTTTTTCACTGTTATAGATTGAATAGCAGTTAGTTGTCTGCCACTGCTGCCAGCTTCTGTGTCAGGCTCACAGTGGATACTGTGCCCATATGCCCAGTCAGTGCCACCACTCACTCACTGGTGTCACAATAGCTTGCATTTAAAAACAAAAAACTTTTTTCACTGTTATAGATTGAATAGCAGTCAGTGTCCTTAAAGCGGGTGTGTAAGGCTCACAGTGGATACTTTGCCCAGTGCCACCACTCACTCACTGGTGTCACAATAGCTTGCATTTAAAAACAAAAAACTTTTTTCACTGTTATAGATCGAATAGCAGTCAGTGTCCTTAAAGCGGTGTGTCAGGCTCACAGTGGATACTTTGCCCAGTGCCACCACTCACTCACTGGTGTCACAATAGCTTGCATTTAAAAACAAAAAACTTTTTTCACTGTTATAGATCGAATAGCAGTCAGTGTCCTTAAAGCGGGTGTGTCAGGCTCACAGTGGATACTGTGTCCAGTGCCACCACTCACTGGTGTCACAATAGCTTGCATTTAAAAACAAAAAACTTTTTTCACTGTTATAGATTGAATAGCAGTCAGTGTCCTTAAAGCGGGTGTGTTAAGCTCACAGTGGATACGCTGCCCAATGCCACCACTCACTGGTGTCACAATAGCTTGCATTTAAAAACAAAAAACTTTTTTCACTGTTATAGATTGAATAGCAGTTAGTTGTCTGCCACTGCTTCCAGCTTCTGTGTCAGGCTCACAGTGGATACTGTGCCCATTTGCCCAGTCAGTGCCACCACTCATATCTGGTGTCACAATAGCTTGCATTTAAAAACAAAAAACATTTTTCACTGTTATAGATTGAATAGCAGTTAGTTGTCTGCCACTGCTGCCAGCTTCTGTGTCAGGCTCACAGTGGATACTGTGCCCATTTGCCCAGTCTGTGCCACCACTCATATCTGGTGTCACAATAGCTTGCATTTAAAAACAAAAAACTTTTTTCACTGTTATAGATTGAATAGCATCTAGTTCTCTTAAAGCGGGTGTGTCAGGCTCACAGTGGATATTGTGCCCAGTGCCACCACTCACTCACTGGTGTCACAATAGCTTGCATTTAAAAACAAAAAACTTTTTTCACTGTTATAGATTGAATAGCAGTTAGTTGTCTGCCACTGCTGCCAGCTTCTGTGTCAGGCTCACAGTGGATACTGTGCCCAGTGCCACCACTCACTCACTGGTGTCACAATAGCTTGCATTTAAAAACGAAAAACTTTTTTCACTGTTATAGATTGAATAGCAGTCAGTGTCCTTAAAGCGGGTGTGTCAGGCTCACAGTGGATACTGTGCCTATTTGCCCAGTGCCACGACTCATATCTGGTGTCACAATAGCTTAAGCTTGACATTTAAAAAGAAAAAAAATTTTTTCACTGTAATAGATTGAATAGCAGTCAGTGTCCTTAAAGCGGGTGTCAGGCCTCCTTCAGCGTGTGCTCTGCAGACCTTTGCCCGTGTACTTTGCCACTCATATCTGGTGTCTCTATAGCGTGCTTTTACAAAGAAAAAAAGTAAGGTAAACGGTTGTCCATACAAGTAAGGTTGCAGCTTTTTGAGGGCCCACACCACCGCCAGGCACTCCTTTTCAATGGCAGTGTATCTACTTCCCTGGGCAAAAGTTTCCGGCTTAGATAAGCCCCGGGTACAGATGATTTAATGAGCGCCGTCATGAGCTGTTGGAAGGCCTGTTCACACTCTGGGGCCCATACTACTATCTTGGGGAGGTTTTTACGCGTTCCTATATGGCACTTACTGGGCTTTAGGGTCAGTCCGGCCTCCCTAATCCGGTCTAGTACGGCTCCTATGTGGGTCAGGTGTTAGGGCCAGGAGCAGCTAAAAATGGCTATATCATCCAAGTATTAAATAAATAAAAAAATAATATAATAAAAAAAAAAAAGCCACACACATACATTGCCCCCCCCCATACACACAAACTGCCCCACATACACACTGCCCGCCATACACACACTGCATCCCTGACATACACTGCACCCCTTACACATTGCACCACTGCTCCTATGTCCTACTACAGCCCCATTTCCCAGCAGATCTCAGGTAAGTTGTCAAACTGTTCTTAAACGGTTTGACTACTTACTGTGGGAGGGGGTCCCGGCCCTATTGACACCATAACCACTACACTGAGCTGTAGTGGTTATTGTGTCTGGATTATTTCTTTAAATAATCTTCAAGTGCCCCTCCCGAGATCAGGCTCTGTTTCCGCCACTGGCTCGCAGCTCTCTGCCCCTCACTCACTCTGCAGTGCGACTCCGATCCAAGCCGCCGGGTCGCCGCCCACTGTGGAGGGGGGGGTTGCCAGGCAGGGCCGGCACTACCATTAAGGCGAATAAGGCATTCGCCTAGGGCGCCGGCCTCTAGGGGCGCCCACCGAGAGGTTTCCCGGTGGGCTGCCCTGCTGTAGCTGTCCAGGGATGCTGTGCTGGACGAGCGGCTCTTTAGCCACCCCCCAGCGCAGCCACTCACCTGCTGGGCTCCCTCTGCAGCAGATTACCTGCTCGGGCAGTGGGGTTTGCTGTAACCCGAGCAGAGCACTGTGCTTCCTGCAGGCAGGGGGAGCCTGTGAACACTGGAAGCACTGTGAAGGGAGCAGGAAGTGCTCAAAGTGCATGGCTCTCCTGCTCCCCCAGGAGAAAGAGCAAGATCCTGCAGCCTGGACCTCTGCTCAGCACAGCACCCAGGTATGGCATGGTTAAGGGGGATTGCTTACTGTGTGCATGTTTGTAAATGGGGGAGTGTGTTAAATTGGTGTGTTTGTGTGTAAATAAAGTGTGATCTTATGTAAAGTTTGTGTTTGAGTGACTGTTAGGGAGAGAGTGCAAGTGACAGTTAGTGACACTGTTAGTGAGCATGTGTGACACTGTGGTGTTAGCGTGTGTAACTGACATTGTCTATGCCAGTTAGAGAGTGTATATAAGTGAGAGTATGTAGGTGACACTGTTAGTGAGAGTGTGCAAGTGACAATGTGTAGGTCAGTGAGAATGTGTATGTGTTAGTGTGTAAGTTAGAGTTAGAATGTGTAAGTGTGTATGCCAGTGAGAGAGTGTAAGTGACACTGCAAAGGTAATTATTGCAATTTTTACGAAACTTCAATAATTACCATTCAGGGTTAGCTCCTCTAGTGGCTATGCATGGGGACGCCCAGTCACGGAAATACCACTGCGAGCGCGGCCATTGAGGAGCTAAGGCGGACCCAAGCCAGCACAAAAGACATTGGTGCTGGACCCAGGTAAGTGACAGAAGGTGTTTTAACCCCTGCTGCACCACGAGGGGGGATGCGCTTGACGGAGGGGGAAGCTATAGTGCCAGGATAACAAGTTTGTTTTCCTGGCACTATAGTTTCCCTTTAATATCTACTCAGTGCGCCTCTTTCATGTAATTCAGAGTTTAGTGAATAAACTTCTGAGGGAGTGTAGTTGCATTCATAAGGGGGCGTCAAAATGTATTCTTACCTAGGGCAGCAAGAATCCTTGCACTGGTGCCAATAAACTTGTATTTAGATGCATTTTACTTTAATTACATAAGTATTTTCATAATAAACAATACATGTGCTTGGGGGGTAAGGGTTTCTTTAACTAATCTAGTGGAAGAGACTCGAGTGCTAAAATCCACGGGTTAGGGGGCGCAAATTACTTGCCTTGCCCCGGGTGCTGACAACCCACGCTACAAAAACTCATGATGAATACTTCCGGTAGGTACAATTACAGTTGTAATTGTTACTCTCCATACCCTACCTGGACTTTTAGTGACAAGTTTTGCTTTGTGGATTAGAGTTCTTTGGTTTGATATGTTTTGCAGGGCAAGTTATAAATCTTTTAACTTTTAGAAGTGAATATGTTTAAACGGTTATGAGGAAATGCTTTAACATTACACCACACAAAAATATCTAACTTAGCACATTTGTTACAAATAAGCACATTTTATTGAGATTGTTAAAGAAAATTAACCCAGACAAATCTCATGTGTTTCAATATGACTTTATTTTAAGTACAATTCAAGTTAACTCTTGACAGAAGTGACGAGGCAAGTCATTGGCGGTGTAGCCTAAAAATAAAAGACAGACATTAGTGTATCCACATATAGTTCCATGATACCACAGATCGTGTTATTGATGGAACACCAATATGCAATGCATCAGGTTGCAAAGGAAACATTGTCTTGAATCCCAAAATATCAGAGATGCGTTGGCATTAGTAGCCACTTACAATATATAGCACTGAACTATGTCTAGTAAGGGGAGTGCTCTAGTTATGGAGGACCAACACCTAACCTCCCACCCATTACTAATCTGCCTTCCTCAGCTATCCTATATTTATAGGTAAGATTCCATAATGGAAATAAGAGGTTGGGGGGAGTTAAAGATTTCAGGCAACGCTAACCCTATAGCTATACTAACCATAGCCTTTACCCAAAGGGTACACCAACTATCTATACGCCTGCCAATTCTTCTTACCCCCAAACCTACATCATTAACCCCAAGGTAACCCACTGCCAGTATGAATTAGGATATTAGATAGTCTGACATGCGTCTACTAGTCATTTTCATAGAGACCAGTCAGCAATTGTTCAGCCATGATATTATCAGTGGAGTTAGAGGGCTTTGTGCAGAGCTGACTTCTGAATAATAGGGACTGTGGGGAGGATAAGAGCTATGACCATGATTGTGGGCCTAGTCAGTCAAAGGCCACAAATATAGTTTGTCCTCAACTCACCTTTAGTGATAATTGCCAGCTTCATCCATCCACAAGTAGCCATACTTTGTAAATTTGATCATTTTATCAGTGACTATGATAGAACGATCTGATGGAATCATGAAATTCATACACAACATAGTATCTTCTTGCCCTGGATGTTTTAAAACGATTGTTGTATACAGGTCTCCCTGCAAAGATATTTTTGTGTATTCCCTGGAAGGACACGTCAAGAACTGGATCCTGGTATCTGATTTCAGGTTCACATTAAGGCTTGTTCCAACGTTAAGATGCCCTGCAACATCTTTCTCTGAAACTGTGGTTCCAGTGTCAGTAGTGACGCCAATTGCTATGTCTGAAACGTGCAGTTTAGTTGACTGGAAGAAGATGTAGATTTCACATTGACTTGCATTGGCTACGTGAGTGTTCTCGTTACCCATTCTAAAAACAAGAAAATATTTTGTATGTTTTAGCTAGATCAAAGGCAAATAGCGCAAAGACCAAGATTTGAACAGTTTGGTTAAAAAAAAAAAAAAAAAAAGTGATCATTTGTCAGATGGAGATACACATACTTTTTACTAACATTTCACTTTTTCTCCACTACCCTGTTTGTCCAAAAAAAAAAATAAAAAAAAAAAATTAGTGGGTAAGAGACCAACATCTATATCCATCCATAATACTAAGGGAACTGTAAAGAATGTTAGGAGGCATCCAGGATTAGCGAGCAAAGAATCCTAGTGTGCAGCCAAGTTAGTTTCAGGTCTGATCTTTGACACATTAATGGCTGCTGAGCCACTAAATATGTAGAAGGGATCACAGGCCAATTGTTCAAACACTTCTACATCTTATTATAGGGTCCTGGATAAGTGTCCCTATACCTTACATTAATGATATCAGTCTGCTTAAATCAAATTTTTTTGAATTTGTAGGTCACCAAGAATATTTCTTAATTGTATATGCTGCTATGCACAATTAACTCTAACTTAACCTACATTTTGCTTTTAATTTTAAAGGGACACTATAGTTGCCAAAACAACTTTAGCTTAGTGAAGCAGTATTAGTGTATAGATTGTGCCCCTGCAGTCTTCCTGCCATTTAGGAGTTAAATCCTTTTGTTTGTGCAAGTCACATGCAGGGATATGGGGATAGACTTTGGTCTTCATAAACACTTCCCGTAAAGTGAGATCTAAGGTTTGTACTTCCTTTATTGCAAATTCTGTTTTATTTAGAGAAATCTTATTCCCTGCTCTGTTAGTGGCTTTCCTGAGCTTGCAGGAACCTTGTGTGTACTGCAAGTTCAAGTTACAGAGGAGCAGAAAGTTTAGAACAAGGAGGTAAACATACTGGCAGATAGTTCAGCAGTGAGACTGCAGGGGCACACTACACTAAAACACATCAAGTTGTTTTTTGGTGACTATAGTGTCCCTTTAAACAAGTCTTAAAGTTAATAATCCAGATCAGTGATACAGTTAAGGGGGGGGGGGGGTAATATTGGATTGTTGTGAAGAAAGTTTAGAAAATGGTGTTTAACATGTTGTGCATCACATACTGCAGTTATATAGCAGCTTATAGCCACATAAAGCTAGGTGTCAGATAAAGTGAACATTACATTGATATACGTTGGAGCATAAAGTCCAAAAAAATAAAAAATTAAATTAGAATTCCTTTAGTAATTAATTGTGTTTGTCCTTTAAGCTCATGACTGCGTAAAGAGAAAGGACACTCCCAACCTCCCCAAGCCCCCTTGGGGGTGATACAAGTAGTCACTATCACTTTAAGAAGGCAACATCACAAACCAGATTGCACTTTTAAACCATTATAAGACTATAGTACTTTTTGTAGAGCTAAAAGACACTATACAATTGGTAAAAGTGGGAAACAAATACAAAACAAGTTTTTCTTGAGACTCAAAAGAGTGTTATGAACTGGATTTTTGACAATGCTAAAGATTTTAGAATGGTACCATTTTATTATCTTTTGAAAGGATGCATTGTACACAAGATGCAAGTCACAATTATTTTGTTTTAGTTATGTAATCAGATCAGGGCTGGTCATTGGCACTTTAAGACAAACTTGGGAGTTGCCCTCATGGTTTCTCTGAATACACAAGGTGTATTTCATTTTCAGATTTTTAACTAGCTTTAGAATGCCCCCTTCCTGTTAATAGACCAACAGGTCAGGTGATAAATGATAGTTTAAGATTAAACCCTTTTTACAGGATGTGTGTAGGAAATACATATACAATGGTTTAACTCATAGATAGAAGAAAAATTGAGCAGTGTGACTGCAGGGACATGATCTATACACCAAAGACGGCTTCATTAATTTGTTCTGGTGCCTAAAGTGTCCCTTTAAACCCTACTTAGGCCCATCCAGTTACTTTACTTATTTTTGAAGAGAGAACACACCCCAATATACCACTAGAGCAAGTTTGTAAGACTTGCTTTTTTTGTGTGTGAATAAAATAGATTAGAGTTCAACAGCAAGTGTTCTTGTTTATATAAAATTAAGACTTGCCATTTTGACAATTCTACTACTGTATTAATGACATGGCTTACAGTAGCAAGTAGCTTTCAAGGCCTGGCTAAAAGCACACAATTTGGAGTTAACCTATGAATTAATACATCAAAACTTTTACTCCCACTAGGAACTTGTATAAAGCATTTTGAGAAGAGTCTCAATTAGGACAATTTAACAGCATAAGTGTCTTGACACAGTTACTTTGTTAAAATAAAATGGAAACTTTCTTTTTGGTTCATTAAATCCTACAAGGTTTACACTGCCTGGAAAAGTAGGATAAATCAAATGCAAGGCATCTGATAAGTAAACATAAATGTATGCACATACCTGTGTCCAAACTGTTCACTTCTTGCTCTCAGGATACAACTGTTTGCTTTGACATGGCCAAGTAAGTGGACAGCCTGTTATTTAAGGGGTAGCTGCTCTGCATTATGGAAAAATGGTTCTCTTTAACTCTTCAAGCACCAGAAGGATTACCAAATCATATCATAAAACTTTTATTTGTCTGGCAAGGTGGTTTGTTTACTAAATAGCAAAATAATAACATTACCTCTAGATTTTGCAGTTCTACTAATATTTACTAATGTCAAATCCTTCTGAAATTTGATTATTTTTTCTGAATTTTATCTATTAGAATTTAGGCTCCTAGGTCCTAGGACAATAGATCGACCAGGAGAATGGGTCGCATTGTTGTGAATTTTCAACCACATGGGAACATCTCATTGTGTACAAGATTTGTGTGAAAAAAAGAATTCTCAGCCGGTTAGTCTGAATCAAATTCCTTTTAATCCACATCCGCATGAATCCATCCATCCGGGATTTACCTGTGACTCCTTAATCAATGGATAATACTCCACAGGTAAATCCCGAATGATTGATTAGTTTGGGTGTGGATTAAAAAGATTTTGATTCAGATGAACTGTGCAGAACTAATTTGTGCACAAATATATTTGGTACGATCCACTATCTCATTTAAAATCAGTAATTCTTATATGCAAATACTATACAAAATATATAATTCATATATTTACCAAAACTGGATTTATACTGAATCCAGGCAAATCTTTAAAATATATTTACCTGCTTGTTGCAGACAAATGTATTTAAATCTGGACTATTTGCTTCCTGACAGTGTTTACAATGTGTGGGGCAACTAATGCAATGACCAGCCAGCTCTAGCCAACTGAAAAGTATCAGAAAAAAAATAAATCTGCCTCCATTTAACTTCTCCCTTAACCCCTTAAGGACACATGACATGTGTGACATGTCATGATTCCCTTTTATTCCAAAAGTTTGGTCCTTAGGGGGTTAAGGACACATGATGTCCCTCGGCGCTGGCTCGGGCTCTGCCTCCACTCCTCCCCCGTTTAGTATCAACCGGCGGTGGAGACCTGTATAATGCTTTTCTATGGGGTTTTGAATTATGCTGAATATCCTCATGCATAGCGCAAGGCCATCCAGCGTCAGTTAGGAAACCAAAAGTTGCCTAATGACCAGAAAGTTCATGTAGTGCAGTGATGGCTAACATTGACACCATAAATTGTTTCTGGACTACATTTCCCATGGTGCTCAGCTAGCTTTTAGAGTCTAACCCCTTCCACCACCCTCAAAATCACACTCAACCAACCATACAATCATACTTAACCTGTAACCTATGTCACCACATTCAATCACATTCAACCAGTTTTCCACACAATCACCTCAGCCAACCACTCGCACAATCCCATTAAGCCAAAGTGACACAGAATCACTCTCAGCCAGCCGCACACACAATTACACTCTGACAACCCCTACATACAATTACACTATGCCAACCCCACACACAGTCACACTCAGCCAACCACCACGTAATCCAACTCAGAGAACCCCACACACAGTCACACTCAGCCAACCACCACGTAATCCAACTCAGAGAACCCCACACACAGTCACACTCAGCCAACCACCACGTAATCCAACTCACAGAACCCCACACACAGTCACACTCAGCCAACCACCACGTAATCCAACTCACAGAACCCCACACACAATCACACTCAGCCAACCACCACGTAATCCAACTCACAGAACCCCACACACAGTCACACTCAGCCAACCACCACGTAATCCAACTCACAGAACCCCACACACAGTCACACTCAGCCAACCACCACGTAATCCAACTCACAGAACCCCACACACAGTCACACTCAGCCAACCACCACGTAATCCAACTCAGAGAACCCCACACACAGTCACACTCAGCCAACCACCACGTAATCCAACTCAGTGAACCCCACACACAGTCACACTCAGCCAACCACCACGTAATCCAACTCAGAGAACCCCACACACAGTCACACTCAGCCAACCACCACGTAATCCAACTCAGAGAACCCCACACACAAGGCAAAGAAAGGTGAGAAGGAGGGGGGACTGGGATGGCCTGCACTGCTTCCTGCACTCGGGCTCTGCTGTTTCTAGTTACACTGATCCTCATGGCTTGAAAACTGTATGTACAATGTATTTAAGGAAATATACTTTTTTTTTAAAAAGAATTTTCAGAAAAAGGTTACAGAAAGGAACGTTCGGGGAGGACTCGCAGGTCCCTGACACTCCAGCAAGGTTTACAATAAACATCGGGGTTGTATACTCAGTGCGAGATGCTTAAATGGACACTGAAGGTACTCAGACCACTTCAGCTCATTGAAGTAGTCTGGGTGCTGCCTCCCTATTGCACTTCTTGCTGCAATGTAAGACATGTCAGTTTACATTGCAGCTCTAAGTCTGCCGACAGTAGCTGTCTGCCCACTGGGGGTGTTTCCACAATCGAAACAGACCTTTGAATGCTGTAAACAGCCGAATAGGAAAAACCATACAAATAGGTTTACACTCCTAGCAGTCAAACTGGAACAGCATACAATAAATCCCCCCAAGAACG